GCAGGTCCCAGTGGCGCAGTTCGCATGGCGGCGCCGCCCCATTTCGGCACACCCCTCACACGTTTCGTGGCCCCATAGGGAGCTCCGCTGAAGGCTCCAGTGGGAAAGTTTGCATGGCACCGCCGCCCCATTTTGGCACACCGCTCACACGTTTCGTGGCCCCATAGGGAGTTCCACCGAAGGCCCTTGTGGGCAAGTTCGCATGGCACCGCCACCCCATTTCGGCCCACCCCTCACACGTTTCGTGGCCCCGTGGCATTGCCGCCCCATTTCGGAACACTCCTCACACGTTTCGTGGCCCCATAAGGAGCTCCACCGAAGGCCACAGTGGCAACATTCGCATGGCACCGCGCCCCGTTTCGGCAAACAACTCACACGTTTCGTGGCCCCATAGGGAGCTCCACCTCAGGTCCCAGTGGCGCAGTTCGCGTGGCGGCGCCGTCCCATTTCGGCACACACCTTCGTGGCCCCATAGGGAGCTCCGGTGCAGTTCGCATGGCGGCGCTGCCCCATTTCGGCACACACCTCACGTTTCGTGGCCCACAGGGAGCTCCACTGAAGGTCCCAGTGGTGCAGTTCGCATGGCGGCACCGTCCCATTTTGGCACGCCCCCCACAGGTTCCGTGGCCCCATAGGAAGGTCCACCTAAGGTCCCAGTGGTGCAGTTCGCATGGCGGCACCGTCCCATTTTGGCACACCGTTTTCACGTTCAGGAAGCTCCATTTAAGGTCCCTGTGGCGCAGTTCGCATGGCGCCGCTGCCCCATTTCGGCACACCCCTCACACGTTTTGTGGCCCCGTAGGGGATCCACCTGAGGGCCCCATGGCGCAGTTCGCATGGCGGCGCCGCCCCATTTCGGCACACCTCTCACGCGTTTCGTGGCCCCACAGGGAGTGACACCTAAGGTCCCAGTGGCGAACTGCGCATGGCGGCGCCGATCAATTTTGGCACACCCCTCACACGCCACCTGAGGTCTCAGCGGCGCAGTTCGCGTGGCGGCGCCGCTCTATTTCGGCACACCCCTCACGCGTTTCGTGGCCCGATAGGGAGCTCCACCGAAGGTCCTAGTGGGTTTGCCCGCATGCGTCACCCACACCCATGTCGTCACACCCCTCAAAGGTTTCGTGGCCCCATAGGGAGCTCCACCGAAGGCCCCGCTGCCACCGCCCGCATGCGTCACCCACGCACATTCCTGCACACCCCTCACGCGTTTCGCGGCCCCTTTGGGAGCCCCACAGAAGGCGCCAGAGGGAAAGTTCGCATGGCGGCGCCGCCCCATTTCGGCACACACCTCACACGTTTCGTGGTCCCATAAGGAGCTCCACCGCTCCACCGAAAGTGGTACCCACAATGCGTTATTGTAGTGGCCTTCGGCCAGTGCCGCCGATCCGGGTCGCTCGGGGTTATTCTCCAGACGCAGAAATTATGGGCGCACACTCAAACGCACACACACAGTCACACCACTTAACCTGCGCCGCAGACATGCGCACACAGCATCACCCACACACACATACTAGTTGGGAAACGCACCTGTAGTACTAGTAGTAGTATTATTAGTAGTAGTAGTAGTAGTAGTAGCAGTAGTAGTAGTAGTAGTAGTAGTAGTAGTAGTAGTAGTAGTAGGTTGTGGTAGTAGTGGTAGTAGTAGTAGAGGCCTCGTTCCGCGGCTTCTCTCGACTTCCCGCGGTCTCTCTCAAGTTTCGAGCACGCGGTGAGTTTCACGATATATGTGTGTGTATGTACGCGTGCATGCATGTATGCATGCATTGATCATGTGTGCCTGTGTGTAGGTACGTATGTATGTATGTATGCTTGTGCGCGTATGTATGTATTTAGTTTGTATGTATGTTTGTATGTGTGTATGATAATATGTGTGTATGTGTGTGAATGTAAGTATGTATGTCTGGAAGATTGTTTTTCTATGTATGCAAATGTGTTTAAATGTAGGTATGTATGCATGTGTGTATGGATGTGCGTTTGAAGAGCGAGGATGTTTCAAAGAAGAGGCACTCGGTGACGCGATCGTTGAGGGATAGGAGTGAGGTCGCAGAGGAGGAGGAGGAGAATGAGGAAGAGGCGATAACTTGAAGGAAAACGATGAGACGGAGGACATCCTGCCGGTGGCGCCCTGGGCGGTGCCGCGGAAGAAACCGGGGGCCTGCCGGAGGCAGTCTGGAGGCCTCTGGGGAGCTGTTTTGGGGCCTCTTGGAACCTCTTTTGGGCCTCTTGTGGGCTTCTTGGGGCCCCTTGGGGGTCTCTTGGGGCCTCCTGGGGGCCTCTTGGGGCGGAAAGCTCGGTTCTTTCGGTTCGTGGTCCCCCTCTTGGGCCCCTCTTGGGGCTCTCTTGGGGCCTTCTTGGGCTGTCCAGAGGCCCTCTTGGGCCGTCTTGGGGCCCTCTTGGGCCGTCTTGGGGCTCTCTTGGGCCGTGTTGGAAGCATCGTGGGCCGTCTTGGGACGGACTTGGGGGCCTCTTGGGCCGTCTTCGAGCGTCGGACGCCCGAAAAGGCAAGAACGCTAAAAACCCTGAGAAAACCAATGAAAATCAACGATTCTGGCCTCTTGGGGCCCTCTTGGGAGGCCTCTTGGAAGCTTCTTGGGGCGTCTTGGAGACACCTTGGGCCGTCTGGAGGCCATCTCGGGCGTCTTGGAGCGATTTTTCGGCGACTCGGGGCCCTCTTGGAACCCCTTGGGGGTCTCTTGGGCCCCCCCCCTCCTCCAAAGCGCCGGAAAAAGCGGAGCATGGCGCCCCCCCCCCCCCTATCTTCCACTCCCCCGGAGCGGCCCCGGGGTTCGCCGGAAACTCGCACCCCCCCCCCCCCCCCCCACCCCCCCTTCCCCGGCAGAGCCACCCCGGCGACCCCCCCAGAGGCTGAAGCTCAGCCTCGAGGCTGTAGCTGAGACTCCTTGAAACTCACACGCCGGATCGGCGGATTTGCATCTGCATATGTTTGGGTCCTTCGTCAGGCTCCTTTTTGGATCGGTTGCTGCCGTCTGGAGCTCGGTGCCGTTACAGCGTCACGCAAGCTGTCCGTTTGGCGGTCCGCGTAGGTTTCGCACGAGGTTCCCCGGCCTGCTCGTGTGTTGAGGCACCCGGGTCCGGCGCCTTCCGCGGTGGCGTTAATTCGGCCAGGGCCCAAAGTGCTTCGGTACAATTTCGAACCGTTTTCCTGGCGACGTGGGGCGAGACGCTTCACAATTTTTACAGGAGTCCCGCTCTCGGGTGGCACTTCTTCGCAATTACTTTGGACGAGCACGCTTCGACAACCCGCCTGCACGCCCGTCTCCTTGCTCTGATCCGCAACTGCGGGGTTGCCCGTGTTCCATCTTTTAATGCCGAGGCCCTTGGAACAAATGTGATGATGGTGGTGGTGGTGATGATGATGATGATGATGATGATGAGGACAATGATGATGACTGTGCTAGTGATGATGGTGGTGATGATGAGGATGGGTGATGATGATGATGATGATGATGCTAATCATGATGATGGTGATGATGATGACGACGATGACGATGACGATGACGACGACGATGACGACGATGACGATGATGACGACGACGTCGATTCTGATGATGATGGTGATGATGGGTTAGTAAAATAAAGATGGTGGTGATGATGATGAGGAAGAGGAAGAGCAGGATGAGGCTGAGGAGGGGAGGCGAGATGAGGAGGATGATGAGGAACAGGAGGAAGAGGGTAATCATGAAGCGCATAGAGAGAGAGGGAGGCAGAGGAGGGATGATGGAGGAGGCATATGTGGTAATACCGAAGAGAGACAGGAAGGAGGACGGATGGTGGTCGATGGATTGGGGAGGGTGGATTTTGATGATAAGAAGGAGGAGGATGGGGAGGAGGATATTGAGGATTGCGTGCTGGCCCTGAGTGACCGTGTCGACTGTGGGCCACTGCGAACAGACGCCGCTGGAACCAGGAGCCTGCCGAAACACTCGACCCGACCACGCCACTTGGAAGCCCGAGCACGCACCGGTTGGGCGGGACAGGGGTGCGAGGTGCCGCTGCAAGCGGTCCACACACACACACACACCCGCACCGGCTGTTACACTCGGCCAGCCACCAGAGCGAGAGAGTGTTGAGTAGGGCCGAGGGTCAGAGAGCAACTTTCTCTACAGGACCACCAAAAATGGGACGTCAAGGTGGTCAAGTGCCTCGCCATCTAAGCCGACGAGGACGTGCAAAGTCCAGACATTTGCTTCGCAATATGGCTCAAAGTTTGGCTTGACGACGGCTGTGGTGCATCAATTTCAGCTTGACCAAGCAGGTTGTTCACGTCCATTAACGGCCGTTTGGAGTGTTCTGCAGGCCTGACCCCCCGCCCTACTCAAAGAGAGTGTCGCAATCGGCCCACACTGGCTGGTGCACTCGGCCAACCACGGGTGAATAGAGAGCCCAGTCCTCACTACCCCGCCCCAGCGCTCAGGCGGCAGCACACGGCCACGCGCGGCACCCTGCATCGCGCGCCAATCCCTGCACGGAGACGCACAGCACCGGCACCGCACTACGCCCAGGGAAGGCCAGGATGAGCAGCCGCGAAGTGGTGCCGCCGCCCGAGCGGGCAAGGAGGGTGGGCCAGGCGAAACACTCCGCTGCCCGAGCAGGCGGCATGCGTGAGTCCATCGACTGCCAGGCAACCACGAAGCCACCAAGTGGACAACCGAGAGCCAGCTGGATCCTTCTACCCGGAAGCCCTGCGGGTTTCGGGGTCATGAAGGAGGAGGGGGAAGGATGAGAATGTTGAGGATGGTGAGGTACAGGAGGAGCAGAAGGGAAGGAGGCGGGAGGAGGATGATGAGGGATGATGGGGGAGAAGCAGATTGGATGAGGAAGAAGGTAGAATGGATGAAGAGGAGGGGGAATCTGTAAATATGCAATATTCCTGGAGCAGATGAGCAGTGCACAGGCACCTGGCTTTCGCGCGCGTTTTTCCCGAGAGCGCGTGCCAGGCAATCATCCACACGGGGGTCTCCTTGAATTACTGGCTG